TCTGAAAGACTTTTAAGATAATGGTGTAGGTCTCATGTTGGTTTAAGACCCTAATTTTTGAAAGTTGAAAAAAGACAAAATTTTTCGGCGTCTTCTTATAACTACAACTGTAGGGCTCACGGGAAAAAGAAGCTACGAGATATTTTTCATTTGCTGATATATTTGCATTCAAAGTTAAACCTGAAATACAAAATTCTATAAAATTAATTATAATTGTGTATCACATTACATTTCTAGTGTATTGCCTTTGTTATCTTCTTATGTATTTATCACTTTCCAGTCTTTTTCCAAGTTTAAAATATTTCAGTTTTGAAATTTAATAGACTACTTTGCATTGAATAACGAAAAAGGAAAATTAGTCCAAGTAACAAATTAATTTTAAACATCAATGTTTCTCAAAGATTATTGAGTTAAATGAGTCAAATTATGAACAAAATGGATAATGATGTTGTTTAGGCATTAAAACAATTTTTGATCTGATAATTCAGATATATACGTAGTATTAATAGGAAGACTAAGTTTTCAAGTATTTTTAATATTAAGTAATACCAAGAATAAGGATACCAAGAAATTGGTAACATGATGAAAAATATATTATATTTATCCCTTTATTTCATTACTCTTTATCATTCTCACTAATCCGTACATCAACGCCAACCATCTTCAGTAAGAGATTCACTGCCTGTTCTTCTAATCCTTACAAGTCGTACTAATACATTCCTGTAATACCAGAACTCTCCAAGAGCCCTGATGTGCCGTTTCGAATAAGATTCAGTATTAATCTAAGAAACGCGTAACTAGACGCGTGTGACGTACCTGAATAGACAGTACGCTCGTGTGGCAGACCTAAATAGACAGTTATCTGATTTTCACTCGTTATGCCTGAAGTAATGCGTGTTCTAGTCACGACAACAAAACACTGCCTCTTAAACTACCATTCCTCCAATCGAAACAACAAATCTTCAAATCACTTCAACTTTCGGGTAACAGAATTTAGCAGTCGTAGGAGACAGGACTTTGATTCCTTTTCCTCTAACAGTATTTAGTCTCTAGTGCCTCAATAACCACATAACTTATTTTTCCCCAAAATGTCACTTAGCTTCGTTTTCTCTAGAGCCCCACAATTATGAAGATGCATATTTTTTCTAAATGAAATGTGTTCATGAAAAACAGATATAAAAAAAATGTCATGTCCAAGTTTTCAAACACATTTTTGATTTGGAAGTATTTTTTGTGAAATTTTGTGTCCAACATAGGCAATTTTTATTTTCTTTAAACTATTTTTTCTTAAAAACGGCACAAATTTGTTTTGATTAAATTTAGATCTTAGATTAAAGGACGCTTAAGAGAACTGTGCAGTTCTCATGATTGTTAAAATACCTGATTTTATGAACATTTTTTAAAAGAATTCGGCGTCTTCCTACAACTACAATTGTGAAGATACAATTTTTTTCTTAATGAAATGTGTTCATAAAAACCAGCTCTTCGAGTAAGGTCATGTTGAAGTTTTTGAAAGTATGAGTTGTTTTTTTTTATTGTTTTTTGTTTTTTAAAATGAGGTAATGTTAAGGTCACCCACTTCAACTTTGCTGCGTCTAAGTTGAGAAGAGTTTGAAAGCTATTGCTGTTCTTATAAAAGAAAGTAGATTGATGCAAGATAATAAATTTAACTTGGAACACACGAATTACTTCTATACTAGAAAGAAATTTTGATCGCTGATTATGGTATGTTTCATTTCTGAAAGTTAGAAATGACTACTGTTCCTGGCTATCGAAATAAATGCAGGTATCCACCACTAGCGCCTCCTTTGAGTTAGTTAGGTTTGAATTATATTAGCATTATTTCTAATACTTAATTTTTTTAAATGAGAAAAATTTGTACCATTAATTTACGAACATTTTAATTTTATATTACTACATGCGCTGCCTTGGGAAGATAGTGAAATGTGAAAATCTGTTGAATTCTTCTTTGTTGAACATTGGCATGCAACCGTTATGACACTTTGTTTAATTTTTTATTTATATTTTTTATTTAACATCAAAAACAGTAAAACTGAATGTGGCGTATTATGGGGAGAAATGTATCTGTGAACGTTTTCGTAAATTTTGCTATCCATACTCTAACCCATTTACCCGTTGAATTCTGAATGCAGTAGCAATAGTAAAGACTGGGGCGGCGGATCTAGAGACATATTTTGGGACGGGAAATTCAAAATATTTTGCTCGAATGTGTCATACTACAGATTTTGTAAAATGTTGAAGGCTACACTCGGTTCATGTTGCGATACGATTTTATTCGTTTTAATGATCATCCAAAAAAATATTTTTGCTTGAAAGTTTCGTGACAACTTTAAAAATTAATAGTTACTGAAAAAGTTTAGGGGGAGTTTCTCGAATTCCCCTCCCGTGGATGCGCGCCTGGTGAAGATAATTTGAGGAAATTTTCTTGACGTGTGAAAACGTAGAGAGTCTAGGCAAGGCGTAACGTGTAATTCGTGTTAAAACGAGCATATTTGGAGAATATTACAATACTATTATTTTTAATAGTTACTATTATACATTTTTCGATATATTTCCATTTGTATGTCAACGGTTATGTTCGTGAAAACACTGCACACCCTATGCAATGAATTCAATGCCAAAAATATATTTTCATTTAAAGGTTCAAATAAAAACTTGCTTGAAACTATTAAATTTAGCGCCAAATGTTCTAGGGTTTCAAAGAAGTTTACAAAAAAATATAACTGAGATGTGTTAATTTGAAGAGAAATTGTGGTGTAAGTACATGCTACATAACCATTACCAAAAGCGAGAAAGAACGTGCTGTTTAGCACCACTAATTTCGTAATGAAATGTATTCTTGAAAATTAGATCTTTACATAAAGCCATGTACATTTTTTTAAAAATATGAGACGCTTCAATTATAATTTTTGCAAATTTTTGAAATTGCAGATAAGAATTTCTCACACTTGTGTTGCTACAATCTTTCAGGAGTTAACAGATTGCAAAACATGGAATGCCGCGACACGGCAGTTTGAAGTTCTCAGAATAATTTCTCATTGTAGGGCGGTGTTCCTCGGTGAATGGAACGGAGATTTAGATTGTCAAATTTGTGTTGATGTATTAACAGAATTAAATTTTCCCGCCTAAAGCACCACGATTGGTAATGAGTTTTACAAGTGATGGCTGACATGTCACATGGTCAGAATTTTCGGTATTTTAATTTCATGCAATTGGTACTGTTGCGCGAAAGGACGTAACTGTTGTAAACAGGGGCGTCCAGAGGATCGGGCAGCTGAGACGACTTGCCCTAGGCTCCCTCTTAAGTGGGACACCGAAAATTTATTTGAAATGGATTTCCTCAATACATTATTTTGAAAAAGAAATTAACAATAGTTGAAATATGACTCACTCTAAAATAAATAAATAATAATAATGATAATAACAAAAAGACGTAACAACAACAACAACAATAATAATAATAGTAATAATAATAATAATAATAATAATAATAATAATAATAACAACGGGAGCCGTTATTTGAATAAAGGGCCTCCATAGTTTAAGCACCATTAGTTTATCTTCAGAAATTCAGCAGTCCCTAATTGTAGAGATTGATTGATTCGTGTTTTCGGGCGCGTCAACCACTAATATCGTTTGTCCCGAACTCATAGTGCAAGTTTTATCGCGGGAGGCGGCGACGATCTTCGTCCGCTGGAGGGGGAGATACGAAATATCAACGTATTGAGGGTTTCCCCGACCAGGTATCTCCCACCAGCGGGGCACCGCCTCAGCCGGGACAAGCTTTATGCTCCCGACTGGTCTTCCGTGGCGGTGTGGTAGTGTAGAGCACGTCAGTGTAAGTGAAAGTAAGGGGCGAGGGTAGGACAACGAAGAATGAAAGATAGCGCGCAGTCCATGACCCATGATCGGCTGGGTCCGTCCCTGGTGTCACCTGCCCGTAATTACGTCAAAAAATTCTAATTCCGCAGAATATGATCCCAAGAACATCTACATCAGCGTGAACTAGAGACTCTAAGATACATAAATCATGTTTTCAGTGGATGTGTATATGACATTAATAATGATTTTTTTTTAATTTCTCTTGCTATAGTAGTAAGTAAGTGGCTACGTTTCGCTCGCTCACATTTTCCTTGATTCTTGGCTTCGTCTTTTAATAAACTTCATGTTTGTGTTTCCAAATGTCCTGCTTCGGATTTGCACTTAATTCAAATAGACCGCTCTGAAATTCGTTTCCTCCAAAGCGACGTCACCGCCATCTAACAGCGAAATTAATAACAACTCATGTAGTTGACGGAACAAAGCGGTATACACTCTCTGCGGTTTACGGAAAGTTTGTACTTTGGATTTTAGCAAATAATCTTCAAAAATCCTCACTTTTCAGACCCAAACAGTAAAACTCACGTACGTTGCTCCAATTAAAAAAAATATAGGACAAACATCCTTACTCCGTATTCGTAATTAGCGATTTTCCCTCCCAACGATTAATGTTGGGAATTGAAAAAATGTTATCTCCATCAATTTCTTCTGTTATTTCCTATACTTTTATTAACATTTCAAAGAAATTGTAAATTGTGTCACTTTTAATTCTAATATGTTCGGAGAAAACTTAAGTTCCACTCAAATTGATAGAAATTCTTTGTATATTAATCTCGCTTTCACAGACACGCAATATGCAAGTTCCGCGGGTATTTTGCATGGCTTTGGAATGGGATGCCAGAATTTACAAAGCTTACACATCTTACGTGATTGTTCTCAGTGACAAAAATTTGACAAGTTAGCTGGTTCTTTCGGTGCACGTATGACACGTGATATTTTGATTGTGCGCTGCCCCCTGTCTGTGAAGTAGTTGACTATTTTTGTACTCTCACGAGGAAGACCTGTACGTAACGTAATAAATTTGAAGTAGTCAGTGTTCGCCTGTATAATAGAATTTATGTTACCAAATAAAAATTGCTTTATATTTTTTGACTACAACAATGGCGGTGCAGACGAAGTCAAACATTGACATAATGCGATTGCCTGTTAATTCTGAGGAGCATACATTCGGTGACTGGGAGCTGAAATTTAAACAAAGTCATATATTGCATTCCAAGTGTTACCAGAGTGATGTTTGCGGTCCCAGCGATCCATGTTTTTTTTGTCTTTACAACAGGGAACTACAACTTCCACACATGCCAGATATGGTGTTTCCTCAAAACAGTTTGGTGTTAAGACACAAAACTGGTTGTGGTATACAATTCAACGCACTGGAAGCTTTGAAAAGAGTTTGCAATGGGAAACAGAACTTGAAAGTAGCCTGTGCTGATGAATGGCTTGAATCAAGACAGGATATGGGACCTTTGGAACAAGTGAATCCTTTTGACTGGACTTTCACCACTGATTACAGAGGTACAATCCTGGGCGACATGAAGGTTGAAGCAACAGAATTGAAGTTGGATCTGAACAAGTTACGTCAAAAAGAAAAAATTCTTTTTTATCATGATCTTACATTGTATGAAGATGAACTCCATGATAATGGAACTGCAGTTTGCTCTGTCAAAATTCGTGTGATGCCTAACAGTTTCTTTATCCTTTTACGCTTTTTCCTACGTGTGGACAATGTAAAAATTAGAATAAATGATACACGCATTTATCATGAATTTGACTTGAACTACTTGTTACGTGAATATTCATCACGAGAGGCTAATGTAGGCGATTTAAAAGTTCCTCATTCAGTTCTGGTTGACCCCAATGAAGTAACTCAATTTTTACCTATTGTGAAAATTGTGAATGAAAAACTTATTTTTCCTTCACCTGGTAATGATGATTCTGGAAAATCTGGAAGTTAATTTTTCAAGTTAACAAAATAAAGCAAACAAACAAAATAAAAAGAAAGAAGTAAGGAATTATTACTCAGTTTATTAAGCAGAAATTTATATTCATTTCTATTATTACAGTATTTGCTCAAATTGTCAGTAATAATATTTAGATGTAACATATCAGTACAAATCAGAAAAATATGAAAGATCCATGTTGACCCTGCCAAATCTTACGCTTAATTATTTTCTCAATCATGTCATAGACATACACATTACTACTTCATAGAAGTACACATTATTAATAGTAAAGTTTTGTTCTATTTGGCGAAATAAATTAAGTGTTACATGTTAAAAGTTAATGATGCTAATTAGTAAATGGAAAGATGAAACATTTCTTGATGCAACTTTTTCTCTCAAACACCCAAATACTCTTACACAATCTTAAACTTGCTGTTGATGGCATACATTTAAATAGAAAGAGTTCCCCTAGCAAGTAAATTTTAAATATTCTGCAAATAACTTGCAACTTACTGTTCTATATTGATAAAGAAATTTGGCAATATTTTTAACTACTTTGTTCAATACGTGTATATATTTAATACTTTGTATTATTATAGTGGTTAATAATCGATTTGTAGTGTACAATAACCGAAATCTGAAAAAGTAAATTGTTATCACTTGCTTCATTATCTTTTATTTTGAATAAATAGAAAAAGTTAATTTTGCAAGCAAATTGTTTCAATACCAACTTCCCCATTCTGACCATTCTGAACAGCTTTCATAAATCCTGAGAAGAGTACATGCATTTGAAGGATCTTTCGACACAAATTAAAAAGTTATTTGTGATGTACAAAGCATTGATCTGAGAAGAATTTTTATTACTTCAAATTCCATCATTTATTTCACTTTGTTTTGCTATGTTTTAGAAGTAAGACGATAAAAATGTGCAAAATGATTTCAATTGCCTACAGAGTATGCAATAGTAAGGCCTCCACAAATGCTACTCTGCAATATTAAGAAATTTGGTGGGTGTGTCTTTAAATTTATGTATAACATAGCAAATTTAAAAGCACGTTTAGGAATAAAAGACTGCCTACCAGAATTTGCTTTCATCCATCTAGGAATTGGATAAAAACACAATAATAATAATACACATGAAATTAGTACTTCATAACAATATTACCAAGAAAAATTAATCTAGATTAAAAACCATGAAATTAAATTTTTCCCCAAATTGATCTTTTCCTTATCTTAGAAAGAGGATTGTTTTTGTGAAATCGATACAGAATTTAACCGCAGGCCATTTCAGTAAAATAATTACCAAAATATTTGTTCTTTTGGTAAACCTGACCATTCTATGAAAGAAAGATGTTAGTAGCATGAAGTCAAAAATGACACTTTGCAAAACACACCTTCCTTTACTCATCTGTAATTAATTTTAATATATCTGAAATCACATATCATTAGGAGTTTTGATGTTTGATATGTTGAATTTTTATCTTATCAAAAGTGTCAAAAATATTATTTAACAATCATTGATCAGGTTTTCTTCCCAAGATCATTGTTAGTGGCAGAGTTTAGCTCAAAGTCACCATTGCCTCTTAACTGCAGCAATTCTGATCAGGAGACCCTAGGGATTGAGTCCCAACTGTGGTGGATTTGAAACACTGGCTGGATAGCTATGTTGAATTCAATCGTGCAGAGAATTCTAGAAGCTGACAGTTCTAATCACAAGTTTTCCATGTTTCTCTGATCAATGCCATCTAAATTATGGAGCAGTACCCTAATAAGTAGCCCACAAACACATGTGATCTTTCCTTCCTTCTCCTTGTATTCTCCAACCTTTAAACACACACATTTACGAGCACTACACTACCACGCATGTTGGGACCTTAGAGCTTGTTCTGGCTGGTGGGACATAGCTGAAGAGGGGCCCCTACAAGCAGACATGTTTGTCAGCACAGGATATCCTTCCTCCGGGGGAGGAACACTGTCACGTCCGGGGATAAAGTATTCACTACTGGACTAATGAACACTGCAGTTGATGTGCTCAGAAACATCAATCAGTCAAGTTCATTGTTAATGAAATTCCAAATTAAACATTTTTAAATTGATCTAAATACAAAGCTCGCTTAGAAACTTATTTTTGATATGTAGATATGACTTATAAAATATACAATAATTAATAGGAAAAATTACTAACTTTAATAGAGATAAGCAGGGAAAAATATTAAACATTTTCTACAATTGAAAGAAAAAATGTAATCCATTCTATAATTAAACTGAATAATTACTCACTGCCAATGAAAAATGCATTAATTCATTTAAACAATGCCACTAGTTAGTAGTTAATTAACAGTGAATTCAAAAGCTCAACATACAGAATATTGAAGAATTAACTTGCAAAAATTGCAATCTGGGCTCAATTAACGTGAGTCTCTCAGGGAAAAAAGTTAATAAAAAAAGAAGGAAGTTGTATCAATAGAAAGTGTGTTGTCAATAGCGCAAGGCGCTTCTAACTCATGGTTAACCGATAGCCATTCATAGACACACTTATGATACCAAATATGATCACACTCATTAGGCTCCAGTATAAGATCTCAAAATTTGTGAGTTTCCATTCACAAATAAAGCAATGAAAATATTCATGAATACCTAACAATAATAATACATGAAAACAATTTACTAGTTAATTAACTGCAAACATGGGTAAAATTAAGAATGAGATACCTAATGTGAAGTTAATTCGGCATTCCAAATGCAAACAACAATTACTAAAGGTAAAAACAAATTTCCTTTAAATAATAAAATAGACTACTCCCTACCTTAAATAGATTATGGAAAATATTGATGGAACGACTATGGAGATCACATCAACGACGAGGAAACACGCACAAGTGTTTTAGAGCAGCATTATTTTGCCGGCCAATATTCAAAATCTACCTTCCGATTAGTTGCTTTTATCCTAAGGAATCGAGTTATCGAATGAGCAAATGAGGGCGTGCTGGATTAATAGCGCCAACATTACAAATATTTCGTGCACTATTTTCATTATCCATATATTCCTAAATTAAAGAATGGGGTCATGCGTCGTTCATTCAAACACTACAATTCTTCGTTACATTAGTCCAAGTAAATTCTTGAAATGCTAACAACACTGATTGAGAGAGTTCACCTTTACGATTCATTCACAAACTTTGGTCGGCTAAAGTTGGATTTCTCTGTCACCCCCTCTTCCGCACCCGCATCACTGACACATGGAAAGTGACAGGCGCGCAGTTGCCGTGTGATTAAACATATTTTTACGTTATACCATACACAATGACATCTATGAAAGAAATGGAAAGTAGGATTCGAGAGCTTGAAGAGCAGCTTAGGGCCGAAAGGCAGAAAAATGATCAACAACGTCCTATTCGTGAGAAAATTAGTCAGATGTCTTCGGAAGTGGTGGATTCTAACCCCTACAGGTGACATCTGTTTTATCAGTAAAGAAAGTATTGCTTTTGTCATGTCAAATACAAGTCTCCTCAGTTCAAAATTTAATTGTTTTATTACAATTTCAGCCGTCTAATGGCTTTGAAACGCATGGGGATCGTTGACAACTATGAGAAAATTCGAGAATTCACTGTTGCTGTTGTAGGAGTTGGGGGTGTAGGAAGTGTGACAGCAGAAATGCTGACACGTTGTGGTATTGGAAAGGTTACATTCACTATTTTCATTGCAACTTTATGTACCAAATTGAACCCATAATTATTGTTTTCTTTCTTTTTTTCTTTTATAGCTCATCCTGTTCGACTATGATAAGTAAGAGCTTGCCAATATGAATAGATTGTTCTTTCAGCCACACCAGGCTGCCTTTCCAAAGTACAGGCAGCAGCATATACTCTTTCATCAATCAATCCTGATGTTGAAATGGAAACTCACAACAATTACAAACATAACTACTGTGGATAATTTCCAACATTTTATGGACTCGTATTAGGTAATTCTAAAATCATAAAGTTGTCTTTCCTATGTAATTTAAAGTATTGAATAAAGAAAACTGTGATATTAGCCAGGGAAGTCTAACTGGAGGGCCTGTGGACTTGGTTCTGAGCTGTGTTGATAATTTTGAAGCACGAATGGCCATCAATACAGCTTGTAATGAGCTTGGCCAGACATGGTTTGAATCTGGTGTCTCTGAAAATGCAGTTTCAGGACACATTCAACTTATTGAACCTGGACGAACCGCTTGTTTTGGGGTAGGCTATTACTTGTTGGAATAATTTTTAGTGGTAAAGGATGGTATACGTAATGTGTTGTTTTTTTCCCTCCTAGTGCGCTCCTCCTCTAGTAGTTGCCTCCAACATAGATGAAAAAACCTTGAAGCGTGAAGGTGTATGTGCTGCAAGTTTACCTACAACTATGGGAATTGTTGCAGGATTCCTTGTTCAGAATACACTTAAGTATGTGTCAAATAAATTGAAAAATACTTTCAATACTTATTTCTAAATCAAGAAACAAGGGTGGAAACAAGGATATTTTCTGAAATGGCTATTTCCAATACAAATAAATTTCTTTATATTAGTGAAAATAAAAGCTGTTAAGTCATAAAGATTTAAAGATCTAATGTACTTTAAGTTTTCCTTCTAAGTCCAGAAAATTATTTTGCATCTTAATCGTTCCATAACCAACTTAAAATCTTAAGAAATTTAATGTAAAATTTTATGACATTTGATGATTTGATTTATGTAATTAAGATTCTAAGATTGCATATGCCTTGTAGATATTTATTAGGTTTTGGCCAAGTGACTTATTACCTGGGATATAATGCTCTTCAAGACTTCTTTCCTACAATGCGATTGCGACCCAACCCTCTCTGTGAAGACTCACATTGCCGGCGGCAGCAAGAAGAATGGGCTAATAAAGCTCCTACCAATCCGGCTGAGGCTGATATGGCAGCAGGTGGAGATGAACCAGTTGTGCATGAAGACAATGAATGGGGTATGTCATTAATAACAACTGTCTTTGTTTCTCCTCATTCCATCTAATTCCTAACTACTAATTAATTCCCATTTAATTCCTAAAGTACTCTATCTTCAGTACTTTGGTTCTATAAAATCATTTGCAGTGCAGGGTAATTATACTCCAAGGAATGAATGCTTTCTTATTTTGCAGAGTATTCAGTGTGGTTGAGTTTCAAGAACATAATGAGTATACTCATATCATGAGTATCGAATGATATAGATACTTTTTCATATAAAGAATAGTGTTTGCACTGCAAAATAGAAAAACTTCATTCATGAAAATTTGTTTTAAACGCTTTAATGGATGAAATGAAAATTCAAGTTTTACCGAGTGCTTTTAGTATAATGTTTTACATAGTTTTTCTCTGTTTGTGAAGAATAATAGAACATGAAGTATTCCTAAGGTTTGGGCATTACAAACAAAAAAGGATGTCTGAAAATTCCATTAACTTTGATTGTTTTGACCCCTTTATATATATTTCGATGTGGGCTGATAGATGTTCACTTATCTGAACATTGTAGGAATCAGTCTGGTGGACGAGAGTGCCCCGAGTGAGGAGCCTGAAGGAGCAGGTGATGTGCTGGGCTTAGTCCAGGGAGTGAAGACTGCATATTCACTTCCTGCCACAACCTCTGACGCAAAGGAGGAAGCTGGAGCTCTAGCAGCTGATGCAGACGTTTCCCTAGAAGAGCTAATGGCTCAAATGAAGACTATCTAAAGCAGTTTGAAAAAACCTTTATCAATTCTACACTGTCTTCTGAATTTAATAGCTTGCTGGCAAAACATGAGATTTATATCATTCCTATTTATCATGTACATGAATTTTATTTTGGAGAGGATATACTTCTATAAAGATTTTTACTTGGATTTTGACTTTCTCCTATTTTGTTTACAATATTTCATTTTGTTGTAACAAATCTTCCTAATTAAAATGTAAGTACACTAAGACTACTTTTAAAAGACTATTTGAGTGTTTGTAAATTAATACAAATCTGTGAAAATTCTTCTACACTGTACTTCACAAATTTCATATTTCTAGGTGAAAGGAAATCATGAACCAACAACAAAGTGATTCTTACCCATTTTATTATCTTGAAAAAAACAAACATAATATAGAGTTACTCTATTTACACGTTACACTCATCTTTTCAACTTTTGAAGCTGAGGAGCAGACACCTTCACTTTCCCTGGTAGATTGCGTGCCAAGTCTTCATCTTTCACACTTTTAATCAAGTCTCGTTCACGTGGAGTAGTGTTACGGTCCTTTAGGAACATGTTCATTGCTGTCTTTGCTGCCTTTCCCCGTTTCCCAGTGCCAGGAGTTAGCTTTACTTTGAACCTGCACAGAAAATAATATTAGATGCGAGTATGTGTTCAGATAGTGATGTAAACAATCATTTTAGAGTGTTGACAGGTTTAGTTCATGCTCCATCCACACTAACACTAGGTTTCAGAGCTGGGAAAAATTTTATGACTTCCGTCCAAACTACTCCTCATACGTTAAGATATTCTCCATGGATCTCTGGCTCTGGAATATTGAAGGGCAGCCTCAAAAAACATTTTAATTTTGAAAATTTAAGAGGTTTTAATGAAAATCAGAATTATACACGTTTATAAATCTATTTCTCTCTATTTTAGGTAAAAAAAAGTCAATAATAAATATGTAGCCATCTTTCAGAAAATTTTGCACCAAGTTTCTTGTGGGGTACCAAAATCAAAATGTCTTTGATTCCTGAAACAGCATCATTAGATTTTACTTCTGATATCTTTACCAAGTTTATTGCATCTCATCCATCCATCCTGATTTTGGGGTATAAAACTGATGTATCTGCTCACCACCTGCACCAATGGGACAAGAATTGAAGATCATATTGTTCATTCGATTCCGATACTTTTCCTCGGAACCACTATATTTTTCCAAGTTATTTCCAAATTTGTTCACAATTCTAATCTGCTCATATTTCTCCAAACCATCATTCAAGAAAAGTTGCAAATTGTACATAACTTCTAAATTTCTTTTATTATGGAGATATCCAGCTATTTGGAGGGGAAAATAACTTTGGGATTTAAAAATTTGCCAAAATTAAAAAGTACATAATATGTAATGCTAAATCTATTATTTAGAGTCCACAATATTTGTTCATTACAAAGTACTATTCAATAATTAAAGGGTGTATGTAAAACGGCCATGAGTCTGGATGTTTAAAATTGAACTTCTACAGTATATATCATAGTCCAGTCGTTAAATACTAAAAAACACAATTACTTGGAAAAAGGTCATAAAAGCTTTTTCTTTTGGCATGTTGTACCCAAGCACTAGATAAAACTCCAAGTTTTAACCTACCAGACCTTGAGCTAACTAGAAATTTTTTTTTTCTTTCAGTTTTTCCCCTGTAACTCTTCATTAAGGTCCTGCTAAAAATTATTCCAATCAATTTTGAAGAGGATAATATTTTCTTCCTTATTCAATTACCAAATGAGCAACAGTTTCTCAAAACAACATTACACGCATTAAACTTTATAAACTCAGGGAGGTTGAAAACTTAGGAGGTTTTAACTAGAGCCACAATACATATAACATACCCTAAAAATATGTTTTTATACCATTTTTCCAGTTAAAATTTACTTGCTGACTGGACTATCACTATTTCTCAGGTTTCTTGCTCTCCCCAAAACCTCTACATTATTTCAAGACAAGAAGCAATCCTCCCCGAGTTACTTTGTTCTATTTTCTTGCATTTCTCGTATATCTGTCATTTTATTTCTATCCTTTATGCTCAACTAAGTATTATTTCCCATTTCTTTGGTTTATTTCTTTGTACCTTGCTTCTCAATTTCCCTAAAAGAATAATAATAGCTGTGTTCACACAAAACATTTATTTTCTGAAAAATGTATAAACAAAAATGAGTACAACTAACTGTGAGCTAATGCAAATAAACCCTAATGGGGAAATAAAAAGCGCATTGTACAACTCCAAGCACTCTTAGCTGACCTGTGAAATTTGATGTGTGAATTAAGAACCCTCCGTATAACAAAACCAAAGGCTTTGCTTAACTCTTCCCTCCATTCCTTCCATACCGTATTTCCTGGCCATCTATCGACTGGACCCCCTTACCACCTCTTACACAACGATGTGAAGAAAAAAATAATAATGTAAAAGAAATGCCCTTAGTAGTAGAACTCACTTGTAATTGTGCAATGTGCTGTAGGGTGCCACAACTGGTACTGCAAATAGAAGCTCATCTTCTGTAACAGGTTGGCCGGTCAGGGAATCCAGCATGTCCACTTCTGCCGCAGGCACTCGCTCTTCTTCCCCTCCATCGGAATCTTCCCCTGCTTCACCTTCTACTTGAGCCTTTGGGGGCTGTACTGGGCGAGGCTTTCGCACTACCTGCTGCCTCTGCCCTTGCCCCTTGCCCTGCTCCTTGCCTTTCTTCTTGCCCTTGTCCTTGCTTTCCTTGGATGACCCTTCAGGCTGCACATAATAAGGAAACACCTTGATTTTTATTTTATTTTATTAGGGGGGGGGGGGGATAGCCACACAGTTGCGATTGTTCTACTATGTGACCTGGCTTAAATACACTCCATTTGTATGATGATATGAAAGGTCATTTAAAGATAATTTTCCTGCAGAAAGTTTTCTAAATACATCTCATAACTTCATTTGATTTAGTTTGATTCTTTTGTACTGTTTTCCATTACTCTGCTATTATATTTCCTTTGGATAATTTCCATTACATTTTGATCATTCTTTTGTAGTAAAAATACATAAGTAAATTTGACATTTCATAGAAGCTTCAGAAAGTTGCTTTGTTCCATTCCCACAACTAAATGACCCCCCTCCCCCCCAAAGTTAAGAGGAACTTCTCCAATTAACCCAGTAGCTTATTTTGACTGGGAACACCATCACAAGATATCGACATCTACTCGTTGCCTATTATATTACATTACAACTCAAAATATCAAAAATCATTCAGAACAAACACGGCACATTCGGATCATTCTGAGCAAATCCAGATGTTTAGCAATGCCAGCCATGGACCCCAGCACCCCAGGCACGGAAGTTAATCTGGAAGACAGCATGGCCATTACTAGGGTCATTTTCCTAAGCAAGTAGCCGCCAACTAACAGCAAGATGGCTTTTTAACGTGAATTTTAGACTTCCAGGTATTCTAGTGATCTGCTGGTTATGAGCGGAGTGCGGTATTCACTTGTACCAACTGTAGGATTCACTCACTGTTTCACCACATTATGCATTTTGTTTTATTCTGTTTTGTGCATATTTGAGTTTTGAGGATGCCAAGGTTCAATTTAATGCAGCTACCAGCAATGTACTGACAGAACAGACTGCTGTTTCAACGGAAATGTAATGTCCTTTCTGTACGAGACTTACGGCTTGAACTGCAAATTATTTCTTTGAATATGTTCATGGCAGAAAACCAACATGGGTGTCATGAGAGCTGTGCAACATTTTAGTCATGGTGTAAGATATATATTTACAACAGGCAATCTCACAATTACAATTCATACACAATATAAAATTAAGTAAATGAATCGTTAATTACAGTCATTCAAAAAATATAATTTCGCCAGATACTTGAAACAAGAATGACATTTATCTAGCTCAATAAAAGAAAATTTTATTTATTATTTCAAAATATCTTGATTGTCAAGATGAAGAGTGCATTCTATTTTTTCGCAAAATATTCAATATTTCTTATTACGATATTTATACATATTTTGCACTTGAAAATACTTGTATACACTCTGTTTGTACTTAAACTTTCCCTTGCTCAATTTAGGCATCAAAATATCCTTCATGCTTAATATGTTTTATGTGGCATAAAGTGCTGCGTGTGCCCATGGATGCAGCAATTTGCCCCTTACAGACGAGATGCCTGGTAAAGGATTCATAAACACACTACTAATTGTATGTAAATGTATTTTGCCTCTCTACTTTTTAGATATTATCATTATCAAAAGATTAAACAGAATTGTTCACTGGTAACATTTTAACCTACCTTTTAATGAAGTAGATTGAAAAAAAGATTTTAATACCTTTAATATTTTCATCATCAGTTCTCTGTCTTCATCATCTTGATTCTTATATTTTTCTTTCATCTTCTTTAATTTTCCCTTTTGTCCACGTTTAAGCTGCTGCTGCTGTTGTTGTGGCTGTTCATGTTTTCCTTGATTTCTTTTGTTCATTTCATTTTCTGAAACAAACAACACAACTGTACTCTTAAAATGACAAATTAATTACACAATAAATGTTATTGTGAAGAATTAGCAGTAGAACAAGACCAAACAACAATAAACTGGCATCTACAATAACGCACAACGACAATCTAATAATAATTAATTTTATTGTGCCAAAATTACTAGTTTTAATTATTTTGTAGTTATTGCTCGTTTCAATTTTTCTCAATACAATCTCAGAAGGTCGATTTTACTGACATCTAGGATATTTTATTTTCAAATGTCTGTGAACCTATTTTTTTTCACACTTCATTAACTGAATAATTTATTACTTAAATGAAAGAGAGACCAAACTTTTCCCTCCATTTTGTCAAATGTGAGCAACAGGTGTGGTGTGTGGGTGTGTTTTTTTTTTTTACAGAAGCAGAAAAGAATACAAGGCATACAATGAAGACAAGGGAACAATCTTCAATCCTTTGAAAGTGTCAAACCTTATTAACATTGGTACATTCACCTTAAAACTTTAAAAGAACCTATTATGACTTACCCATGCTCAAACTGCCTTAGAATCACTTTTGTTTTGCTTCCTGCTTGACCCTTGATTTTTGGCTTTGCTGACCTGCATTGCTTCGCAATAAAACAGTTTATCATCACCCAAGGAACACACCTGATCACCCTCAGGTTCTTCCTTGGCCAAGAGTATTGGGGTTGTTGGAACCTCAAGAGTCACTCTGTTACATCCAGAGAAAGAAAAATAAGATTTCAATTATCATTACCAAAAAGATGATAAAGATGAATAAAAGAAAACCATAAAAGCATGGGAATTTCTCTACTTTTCTAGGAGTGTTTCACACACAAAATGAACACCAGTACCGTTTAACATTAGAATGCTTAAAAGTTATTTTGACAAAGGTAGCATTTATGCAATATAATTTTTGTTTTTGTCTTCAGATTATCACACAATGTCTTCTGAGACTTCAAGATTTTTCAAAAGTGTTTCATTATTTATTATCATTATTATGAGGTACCCAAACTATTTAAAAATCTATAACACTTAATATTTATTCAACATGATATCTACTCTGTCCATGGGTATGATTTTGACTCTCTAATATAATAGAATGCCTTGGGGTTGTAACACATTCTTGCATATTTCACTAATCTCATATGCCTGTTCTTGCAAGAAATCATGTGACAGTCTACAGTTGTTTTCATTCCACTGAACACCTAACATTGGTTTCCGGTTCCAAGGGCAACACATCTCACATTGCAAGATTGTTTCTGAAGTGATTCAGTTCTCTCTCTTTTCATCAGAAATGTAAGCCCAGTTTCTAAAATATATAAACCAGATATTTAGTTCAGCTGATGGTTCTGGATGATGATGATTCAAAAAGATGATGAAAGAAAACAACAATGAAGACAGGCCCAACAATGCAGAAGGAACTGTCTGCTGACAATGAAATTATCTTTAGACTTGGGTACTACCTACGTATGAAAAATATTTCAGCTGACTGTTTACCTAAACTCTTTTATGATCATTATGTATAATATCTATTGCATTCTTTTGCTTTGCACCTTTTATTCCTTATATTATACATATTTATTACTGAAAATACAAATAATATAATTCTACCGTTACAAATATCATTTTCAAGAAATAAAGAAAGCAATAGAAATCAGTAAAGCAACAAAATATCCTGTTAAAGCAACAAGCTGCAAACATAAAGGTATCCAATGGACACCTTTGGGTGGAGTACGCAGATACATACAGAAACCCAAGCATTCTAATATTAATAATAGAGGTAAGATATTACTAGTACAATACACTAATTACTAGCTTTGTGCCATCAGGTGTTAATACATTCTTCACAAATCTTATGACCATGGCAACTTGTAGTCCTATGACACAACATACTTTTTTTAATTTTTTGTATTGGAATATATAATATTAAGAGAGAGGGCATGTACAAGAGATAAAATATTGCAAATATGTCAGAGCTTTTTGTACCTTCAAAAACCCCTATCTGTTTCAAATTCAAGATATGATATTATCAGGTCAAAATGTTGTGCAAAGTTTAGGTGATAGAGCTGTACACACAGAGACAAATAAAGAGACTTTTTTTTTAAACAAATTTTTGCTTTTAGTGATCCATAAAATTTGTTTTCTGATGAAAAATTGGTATACATATTTTCCTGCAGCATGATATAACTTCCTCTTTCTTTGAAGACATAAGTGTGCTCGCAGGAGGTCATGGCCCCCTGAAAATTGCAAATGAGATCCCTACAAAAAAATATATTTTATTTCTATAAAAAGATCAATTCCTTATTTTTCTTTTTAAACTGATAATTTGGGGAATTTTTAAGTGACATTCGGGAAAGAAAATCAGTAGGCAATACTGTAAATGGATCAACATAAAATCAATTTTATATACTTATGTATATAAAATCCATAAAAAAGTTCATGGAAAAGGGGACACAGAGAGACTCAGAAATATGGTTGACCCTCTTCTAATTTTAGGTGGTGCACAACTACACATGAAATAGACAAGAGCAAGTAAGAGCTGTAAAACAATTTGTGAACTAACTTACGCAGTGCCTGTGTGCTGGATTTTCAATTCTACATCAGGGAATTCTACTTCCTTCTCTTCTTTGACAGCATCATGACTGCTATCTTCTTCCGCTGAGTCACTTTCAACATCTGGAGATTGATCTCTGCTTTCTCTTAATGAATCTTTCTGGCTATTACTGTTTGGAGACGCAGGTCTATCTTTCTCTTCGTTCTCTACAGAGCCAGTGCCCTCTTCGTTGCATTTCTCATTGCTACCCTCTTACATCATTAAAATGAAAATGTATTAGTAAAATAATATTAAAGCAATAATAATATGTTAAAATAAAAGGACTATTATTAATGCTTTTGTGCAATGCACACAAATTCCCAAATCATTATTTTTTTATTGATCAACTTACCATTGCCATCATCATTTTCTTCATCTGAATCTTCTAATTCAATTTCTTGATCCTGCTCTTGCTCAGATAAAAGTGACATGTTGTCAAGAGTGGAACCAACTGAAGAGATTGTATCTTCTTCATGTGTTCTCACTTTCCTATCATCCTTGTGACTGCAATTACAAATTTGTTGTGTTTTACATTGTTTTAAAAAGTCCATTATCACAAATAGTGTGTAAATAATAAATTTAATAAATATACTTCTGTTAAAGTTAATTACTTGGCTTCCCATTTCAAATGTATTTTAGAGGTTAATGTTTAATGTGTTCATACAGTGACAGAAAATAGCATGTAATAAAAATAAAGAACTAATTGTTTGTAATAAAAATAAACTAATGGATGTAATAATTAATGAAATCAAATTGAATGTAGTAGAAATAAAGAACTAATGCCTTGTAAGTTACATACAAATAGTGACTCTCGCAAAGGTTACCAGTTTTGAATGTGTTAAAAATTTCCGAGTGGCAACACGTCAGTAAAGGACTTTATTCTATAGCAACTTTTTTATTTTCCTACAAATGTTAATTGGCATTAATATGAATATATCAGAAGGACTTAAGTAATTCTATTAGCCACAAAATGGCATTTAAAGTAACACTACATTTCCTCTTCCACCATATGACAAAACACTCAAAATGTCTCTCCGCAGGTCTGCTTCATCACTTCACATGTGTTTGGAAATGAAGTTGTGAGAGATGGCATCTTCACTTTCTTCCTGATTTGCCCAAACTGCTGGATTCAAGACCTTGTGACCCTGAAAATGACAGGGCCACCTCATTCTCCCCTCCCCCCATTCCTCTCCTCTTATTCTCTTCCCATTCCTCCCTGGACCCACAAACTGCAAGCCAGAGATAATTGTGGTAATTTAGCTAGTTCTTACCTAGGCTACCGGGACAAGCCGCGACACTGACATGGTGGCTAATATTTCGGCCAGCGTATTGTGGTCTTCCTCCAGCTGCGGAAGCCAACGCAACGAATTTAGCTAGTTGGCTCGCTCAGCCAAGAGTAGGTTCTGTTCAGCCAGCCCTGAGAGCCGAGTTCAGTTACGGAGATGAGGTGTTGGCTGAGCTGAGAGACCAACAGCCTGGTGAAGCACAGCCTTTAGTGTGCTATGGAGATCAGCATGTACACAGGGGTGAGGAACGGGAGCATGCAATTGAGTAAAGATAGTCTAATATGAACACTTAGTTTGCCTGAGTGACTGCAGCATCCCCTCACGTCCCTCCCTCTACCCTGAGCTCAGAAGCACCCTCTTTTCAACATCCTCTCTGGGGGGTGACAGTTGTGAGGGTGAGATTAACAAAGGATTTCAATAGAACACGACACAGCTTTGTCATTTACTAGGAAGTCACTGTGGAGAGACTTTCTGAATGTACTGAACTTATACACTGTATCCTATTATTATATTTGTTTCTTACAACAATATCTTAAGTGTAGTAATAGTAAATTGTCTGGAGCATTTATAAAATCTTAGTAAAAACATACCGTTCAATGGAGCTTTCTTCCAGTTTGAAGAGAAAGCTAAAACCCATAATGAGATGAGAGTGGGGCAGGTAATTTTTCTTGCCTCGAATCATGAATGCGCCAGTGGTAAGGTATTCTCCAGTGGGAGCAGTCTTTGAAACCTGGTCATGATGAACCCACCATGCACTTGTAACAGCTTTTGCATCCCAAGCCACACTGTCAAAATGAAGATTAATATAATTCTTGTGAAAATACTAATCACTAGGGAGCGGATTTTTATGCCCTAAGAAAAATATTGAAATATGGTTTTAAAAATAAATATTTATGACCTAAAAGTTCTTAAATATATAATAATATTGCTAATATATTGTATGCTTATAATATGCACTTTCTGTCTAATATATAATTAAAATTAACTATTTCATTTCCTAAATAAATCTTTCTTAATAAAATTCAGAAGAATGCTTGGAATGAAAAGATATATATTTGTACAAACATAATATAATCTACCTTACTTCACGGAAGAAACAATTGAAGGAAATATTCACTTAGTATATCTTGTTGCATTTATTCTGCCTGTTTTTAAAAGTAAAACAAGAACCTACATTTGCACAAGTATTTTATCATCTATAGAAGAGAAGAAAAACAAACGCAAACTGTGACAAACTCTTTTGAATTAATTAACACTCACAAATAAAAAGATTCCATGAAAAGATGAAACAGTTTAGTGATAAGTCTATTTTAATATGCAAATGAAATATGCAAAATATACCCTTATAACTGCACAAATATGCACAACACGAAAAATCACCCAAATATGCACTAACATTAATCTACATAGTATCCAATTCTATCCAAATATATAGAAATCTTGCTTACTTTGCCCTGAAGCTCTGAACATAAATATGTAAAATCAAAACTCCGCTCCCTACTAATCACTAAGAGAAGCACTCAGGAAATAGCACAATAAATAAAAGAAATGGCTTTCTTAGAAACTTTTAACATTCAAAAAGATCTAGTGAACAAAAGGCAAAGGTTCCACCACAATAACAAAGAATGAAATAAACCAAACAACACTTCATTTCTTTCAAATGCTTTAAAATAATGAAGGACAACAAGAAACTGAGGGAAATCCTCAGTAATAATGAATAACAAAAGTAAACAAGGTTTGTATTCACAAACACAATCTGTAAACTACATCAAAAAAAGAAAAACCCTCACTCATACAAATCCAATTTTACTCTCCATTTCAAACCAACTTGAAACCATTTTAGAACATTGAAAATATCAATTTCTAAAACCACTCTGTACTGAGGGATGACATGATACCTCACATAATCTTTTAAAATGCTATGTATCACTAGAACTTTCATTTGCAATACTCTAATGAAATAACACTTCCATTATTTCATTTTCAAAATTCTATAATCAATAAAAAAGAGAAAAATATCCAAGACAAAACAACCCCATTTTTGCTGATGTTACCTACTGATTGATTCCTTGAAATATTTCACATTATCTTGTTCCCTTGTGCAATACAGACCAGATAACTTTTACTGAAAAAAAATACATTGCACATTCATTTTAGATTCCGTATTTACAAACATTTTCAGTATTTATCGCCCTTCACTTTTACTAATGATTTAAGGAAAATCTCGCATGACCTCCTACCTGTATGACATAGCCATGATTCCTGCTTCATTCAGAGTCTTAGGGGGTATAGGCTGGTTACTTGGGTTCTTGATCACAATGCTACTGGCTCCCTGAATATCAGCATGCACATACACATCCCCAGCACGCAAGTACCTTTTCACAATAAGTTCATTTTGTTGAGGATCCCGGCCACCAATTACTGCACAGATAATTACACAATAATGTTTAAAAATGTAAGTTTAAAAAAAGGAGCAAAAAAATATTTTTTTAAGACTCTAACAATAAAGACTTTTACATGTTACTTTACATGACTGAAGTTTTTCATGTCTTAAGACACTGAAAACTGTGATATCACTATGTAAAATAACCATTTCTGTAAGATATCACAACAGTGCAAAACCACTTTGCATGAATGTGGCAGATTGTTTTAATAACCATGAAGAGTAAAAATGGAACAAATGATGATGCATATTAAAAGCTTTTTTTTACTATTCGACCACAATAAAAATTGTTCATCTTTCATAGACAAAATTATTGTTTCTAGAATTCTCTCAATTGTTTAACTGACCCTCAATCTTGATCATGACCAAAATAATCATACTTCATTTAAAAATAATCATTTAGATAATTACAATAATAACTGTTCAAGAAGAAAAACTTTTTCACTTATTTTGAACATTTCTTCCATGCTCCCAAACTTAATTTTCAAATAATGAAGTTCATTTTAATTTTATTGAATGATAAAATTATTCTACTTAATCACTTCTGCATTTACTTTCCACAAAGTAGATATTTCTCAGATCCTCACATCCTTCAGATATGTCCTAAATTTGATGAATAATTGTATGACATCTTACAGAATAAGATTTTTAAAAGGCAAAAAACTCTGTAACAATTTAAATCAAATTTTACCAAGATAATTTTCAGAGCTGATAAACCAGTGGAACTTTTCAAACCAAAAAACTTTTCGTGCCTTATTAATATGAGTTATAGCTTGCACTTCTTTCAGAGTCTGCTTTGTTTTCTTTTCTGCAGATTTGAAAGCTTTTGTTTGTGCATCTATTGTCTTCTGTTGTTTTTTGGCAGCACTTCGTTTCTGATCGTAGTACCTATAAAAAGAAAAATCATACTGAAAAATCAAAACTTAAAACGTTCACATTCATAAATTTATTAGTTCATAAATTCTTACTTTCGAGCATTGGCAAATGCTGTTAGATCAAGGTCAATGTCAATGATCATTGACTTTGCTGAATCTTCTTTTTTATCTTTATCTTCACCATCGTCATCGTCATCATCATCATCATCATCATCTTCATATGTATCTGCATATGGATCACTAAAAAATATCACATTACTTCACACAAGAACATAATACACATAATTCAAATTCTTAAAGATATCCTAAATAAATTAGAAATTCAAAAATAATCCTCACTTTTTTGTGGCCCCAGAACAGAACATAATTCACCAGTGAAAATGATTGAAAGTCACAAGAAATTTTATATTTTTGTACAGTACATACAATTTAATTTGCATCTGAGAGACATTTAATTATATTTTTGAGTAACACTGTAATGTTTGTCAACTACCCTACCTAATCAAATGCAACAAAAATTATGTATAAGTTCATGATTATTTATCACAGTAATCACATTTCCATTGTTCAAACTATTCAGCCATCTTGCACTATTCTATGTTTAACAACATGAAAAGAATAAGCTTTTAAATATTTCTTTCTTCAGTAAAAATTAATTTCAATACTATTTTACAACTATATTCCAATCTTTCTGATTTTGAAGATATGACTTTTACATTATTTTTCCATTTATTTCTCACAAAACTAATTTCTCAAATAGCCTGTTTATCAGCCTCCAAAATCAAAAATGGAGGTCATCCCTCTCTACAAAGAAGACCAGCCAGTGAAGCACAAACCTGAGTTTCAAAGCCACATGATTCACTGAGAGTTTCAGCTCATGAATGAGACATGCCACTGGATCTCCTTGGGCCTGGGCAGCTTTCACCATCTCCTCAATGTCTGGCCAAGAAGCTTGACTTGCAACCATGGCTCGCACAGCCATTACCACGTGATCTACCAATTGCTGGTTCATTGTTATGAGCTCAGCACGCCTCCGATCAACCTCTTGGGTTTGCTCCAGAGCTACAAGTCTTTGTGAGTGGTCTTTGCGAACATTTTCCAACTTCTTCAAAGCCTCCTTTTCCTGAAAAATACGAAATTTGATTGCTTAAGAAAGTTCGTAGAAAACTGAAATTTCAGTCAGGTTATAAAAAGAGATTTTAAGCTTCTGTTTTTCAAATGAACAGGCTTCTTGAGATTGAGTAGAAACGACATGATGCTGTTTTTTTAAGCACTTAATAGGTTTAAGTCATTTGTAAATTATCAAAATATAACACACACACACAACTTCTTTACAATTTTTTCCCCTCAATTCCACAGAAAATGTATACTTCTTTTTGAAGTTAGCAAGATGTAGATATAAAATTATCAATAATAAAATTAAGAAAAGTAGTAAACATAATACCATTCTTTTACCAAAATTACTTTCCTTTGATCAACAATGTCAATTCTGAAACATACCAACATCTTTGAATCCAAAAGACTTTTCCAAATGATTAAGCATTTCCAATTATAATGATTTGACAGAATTGATTCACTTCAAAAGTTATATGTTAATTTGAGACATAGTTTTCTTGCCCTATGATAATATGATGTGTTCAGAAGAAAGGCTAAATGGACACTGATATAGATAAATAAATTTCTGGATAAGAAGCATGCAGTAGTCACTTTTTGGTCGTTCCGGTTTACACTCATTGCTTCAGTAATGTTTTACAAATTAAAAAGATGTTAAAATTATTAATATCAATAATTAATTTTGTCACACATGATCAATATATAAATAAATATTACAATAATTTGAACAACAACTCATGTCTACAATATTGAGTTGAAATTATTTGTGCTGAAACGATTTGTAAACAGCACATGTAATTATAACAATAGAATGTTAGCATCTGGATCTGCATTCAATACAATGTCCCAACATATTTGAAAAAAAATTTAACAGCACCTTATTAAAATAATTCTGCCTTTAACGCATTTTAATAAAATGAAGGGTCTAAATATTTAGTAAAAAAGCAATGAAATTATTTAAGTTTAATAGATGAAATGAAATCGATATTTGGTTTCCAACAATGCTATGGAGTTATTTGGTGCCTCCTGAAAATTCGAATTTCAACTAGTTTGATTTTTGTAAGAAACCCTTAATTTATTATCAAATCATTTTCTCAATCCATGTTAATAAAAAAATTCCTGAATCAAAAAACTTTCAGAATTTATTCTGAAAATCACTTACTTGCTGTAGAGCTTTCATATCAATTTTTTGGCTCTCAAGAGTTGAGAAAAACTCATCAACAGCAGCATCAAAAGACTCAAATTCACGTAAAGGGCTGTTTGTATGCTGCTGAAATACCATGGGGTGGAATTCCTGATTTGAGAAAAAGTCCTCTTCTCCTCCATCTGCAAGTGGTCTTCGATCTCGTTTCTGTACTATGTACCCCTATAAAATAAAAAAAAGAAATCAGAAGTGCTATGTTATAATAGTCTACTTTCTCATATTTTATTTCTCTCTCTCTCCCATAGAGCCTGAATTGTTATTTTCTTAATTATTATGTCAAAACATCTTAATTCATTGTTTCAATAAAAAGTAAGTCAAACAAACAGTGAAACAAGAAATAAAGCAGAATCAAAACTGAGGGGAATCGAAGACAAATTTTCAGGATAAATGTTGCAAATAAAGGTTAGATAGTTTAATTTTTTAATTAATAATAAATTATTAACATAATATAAAATGACCAAGGTAGTCTAAGTGAAATACTTTAGCATCTCGGTTCAAAGGATTGCAGGTACAAATCCTACTTCAAGCATGGGCTTGCATGTTGGAGGAACGGAGGGTTCTCCCAACCAACATGGAAGGTACACAACTTTGATGCATTTGTGCCCAGGTATGCTCTAGGTTGAGGGTTTCAATCCAGCATATGACATGAATATTGTGTGATGAGGCACGGTGTGAATTCCTAGCATACCCTTGAAACTAAATACTCCACTTCATTTCTTTCCTTTCCCACGTAAGGTGTATGAGCATGAACAAGATGAGGTGAATGACACATGGGATTAGAGGTCACAGCATCAACATTATCTAGTTGTGGCCTTGCTTGTTCAATTTAGTATGTTCACTGACCAATATGGATTCAATAGCCACATTCAGGCACTAAATATGGAGAAACTCCTAGGTACCATGGTGGCTGCACCTAGAACAGGCGTTAGTAACCGCCAGCCAGCCCATTAACCCACCTCATGTGGCCTGAAGGCCCTCTACAGTATTGGTCTATTGAAAGATAATCATGGATTTTTTTTTTTTTTTTTTGCATTTTATGTAGCCTACATCAAACCAATTGTTAAAAACAGTTGAATACACAAACAGGTAATTCAAATGCAGTTTTCTTGTTTCAATGTTATCTGTAAGCACGCAATAATCGCTACTTGGCTAGTCTATATTATTGTACCTAGATCCCAAGATCGTATTGACCTAATATTAATAAAATAATTGAACTGTAACTTAGTCATTTAAATGTGTTGAATAAAAAGTAAGTTGAGATATGTATGACCCTGGAGGTTTGACAATGTGGCCCGCAGTTACAAAAAGGTTGCCAACCCCTGATCTAGAAGAAAGTCTCAGATAGCGAAGGAAACTTTTGCAGGCACCAAAAGATGCAAACACATAAAATAAGAAAATGCTTTTTAACTTAAAAACATAAATTTTCAGAAGTAACACATAAAAAAAATGAATATTCATGTAACAACCCAAATTTTCAGAAGTAATACAATAATTGTATTAGCAGAAAAGCTAAGATAGAAAAATTATTGTTTTCGGGTTGCATTAAACCCTTACAATGTAGAAATATGGCCTCGTTTTTTAATATTTTACTTTTTAGAGATGCAATCAATATACCAAATCAGTTGCCATTTTCCAGATATAAAAGTAACAATATTTACTGATTGCTGAATGAAAATAGTTGACTCTGGATGTAGTGAAATTTCGATTACAGTGAACCAATGTCGCTGTTCCCAATCCATACACATTACAACTAAACACAACATGAATCTGTTATAGTGAACTCGTTACATCGGATACAATGAACATAGAACAACTTCCATGAAAAAATACTTCGCTCCAGGACTTGAAATTCCCATAATCTACAAGTTTGTAGTAAAGTAAGTGAAATTCCAGATTAGGACATCACAAATGCTGAGGAAGGGTCTTCTAAAAAAGAAGAAAGAGAGAGTGATGACAAATTAGTTACATTTTTAAAATGAATCTCAGCAAATGACGACTTTGAGGTTTCAACACTGGTTTTCAGTTTCGCCTATTTTGTTATAAAAAACAACAACGTATACTTTTGCCTAAATTTGAGTTACATAATTCATAGAAAATAAAAAAATTTAAATTAGTTTTTATTTTTAAAGTACATAATTTCATAAATAACGGGAGTTAAATATTTTCTTACATGAAATCAAAAAAACAAATTTCACTTATTAACTTTTCCACACACTAGACAGCGCACGCAGCACCAATGTAACCATTTCCATTCTCTGCTATCTTTTTAAAAACAACATAAAGGTGTAAAGAAGTTACCAAATCCTAAAATTAAGACTTTTTTTTTAATACACCAAAGAAACTATGCCAAGGGAATCAACTTTGCGCAAATGTTACTTCCATTCAGTAGATAGAGATAAAAAAAGTTCAAGAAGAAACTAAAAATATGGACATGAGGATTTCTATTGACAAGACAAATGATGTCACGTGTTGATTTTAAGCTAATGGTCAGAGGTTCATTATAGCCAGAGTCAAGTGTACTTCCTGCCACCTATTTTTTTTCTATTTACAGTAATTTGCCTGTGCATTATTGTAAAAAATGGCATTTAGTTACAGCAAAAACATTCTACAGCTGAAGTCTAGAATACGGTACAACGTATAGAACTGTTTGAAATGGCACTTCGCACCGCTCCGGTAGCAACTGTCCAGTTTGAATTCTGGAGGCTTTCTTGAAAAGTGCTTTCTTACAAAAGTGAATTGGTAACTATGCGGTGCATAATTTCAAGGATTTTATAGTGAACGTGAAGTGACCGTACAGCCTTGACATTACTTGGATCCAGGTGAGCGAAGCAAGAAAACTTGCCATTGAAAGTAAATTTACATTACAATGCAGCGGGGACAAAGCATGTGAAGGGCAAGACACGAAAATCACCTACCCATAATTTCTATCAGAGTGCGTAGCATAATTAGGAGACCCCCCCCGCCGCCATGCTTCTCTGAGGGTGTACCATGTATCCTACTTTAAACCATTCTGCAATTACATATGAAAACTTGGGAGTGCGCTTGCCTTTGATGGTTTCTCCTGGCCAATATCAAAAAGAGCCTCTGCCTTTTGAAAAGCTTCCAAGAGTCGAGGAATGTCTTGAGGAACATGGAAACTTTTTCCCAGTTTACAGTTTGCAGCAAAACCAGCTCCGAGTAAAATATGTTCTAAAATCGCAGGTCCGTATTCTACAAATAAGTGCAACAAAAATAATTTGAGCTAAATTAAACTGGCGCCTAGTCACATATTGAATAGTTTTAACTAGGCTCTTGTTTCATAAGTTTATAAAAGCAGTTTCATAAAAACACATGCACTCATAGAGGCGAAAAAACACCTTATATAATCATACCTGTGTTTCTATTAAGAATATTTTTAATGTTATCTCCTGGCTTTGCTGTTGCTAGAAGTGCCTCCACCTCTTCCTGTGACAGAACCTTTCGCTGATGAGCTCGATCTAAAGGGTATTTCTCTCTCACTGCAAACCTGCAAAACACAATAAAGTTGTATTCCATTTCAGAAAAAAAAAAAAAATCTATTCCTTGGGAAATAAACGACCGCAAAATGCTTACCTAACTTCTTCACCTTCTGTGTGAGGGCGCAACACATTCAAGATTGTTAGATCACAGTCTGTGAGAATAATATTGCCTCTGTCATACAATTCAAGAATGATATGATATGCAGCTTCGCCAGATCCAAACTGTAAATCTACTACACGATCAATTCCCAATTGTTTCATACTTTCCAGGCGTTTATTTCGAAGATGTTTTCTCATCTGAAAGACAAAGCATAAGGAATAAAATAAATCTCCAATCACCTGGTAAAAAAAATTAACAATTTTAATAAAGTACTCAAACAAACCTTCATGCTAAATCCAGAAGGTGCAACATTTTTAGGCCATTCAAAGCCTGTTGTGTGCATTCGACTTCCTGACTCTAGAAGTAACACACATTTTTCTTCTGTTCTCTGAAGTTTGATAAGGTACGTCTTATGATCTATATCATACACTTGTGCTACTCTCATACCAATTAACCTGTAACATGGAGGTTATTAAGTGTCAAAGATGTAGAAACGAACAAATATTTGCTGATCTCCCTTGATTTCTCAGTTTTCATACAAATCCAGTCAGTATGGCTAGATGTGTAAGTATCTTAAATGGAATAAGTATCTATTAACCTCATTCCCAGAGAAAAAATATGATAGAATAACAGTGATGGACACTTGTCCATGATCAAAAAATATATAATTCTATAAAATAATCAAGGAACCTTTGAAGTTCTGTGATGCTGCACATCAAATCGAATGTGCTAAATCGTGTCTTCATTTTTGGTGTGTTGGAATATTTTTTTCACAATATGTCAACTATTATATTTTCCCTTATTTCACTTTTTTCTCAACATTTCTCTTCCCATTACGTTGAAACTAATCATTCATGTACACTTGCAATCATTTCTTCTATGAAACCAAGTTACACACGGTTACACTCATCCCAAAGTGCATCAATGGTTCACGTAACCTCAACTCAGTTCTCTCCGCGACAAACAGCTGACATCGACTCCAAGGCATCCACCGCATTTTGCCACCGCTTGCGCGGAACAACTTTCGTTCGCGATTTCAGGAACTGATGCAGGTCCATTGTACACCATCTTCAAAATCACATAACCGTTCAGTGCTGAGAATTTAATCATAAATAAAATATATCATTTCAATTACCATTATTAAAAATTCTCATCACAAAACAGAAATGAAGGCGTAAGAAGATGGCACTTACCGACTCATGTCCTGTCGAAGTGACAAATCGGCTTAAATCGCCAAAGTTACTCGATCACTTAGTTAATATTTTTTGGAATTAAATTTATTTAAAGAGGTGAGTTTTAATGGCGCCCTGTAGCCATGCAGTGGGGCGCATGAAAGGGGTCTGCCCTGGTCCTCACCCAGAGGGAGCCTCTGGGGAGCCTCAACCATCGCGAAGTACGACCGAGAGGACTAAATGAACCTGGAGCGCTCTTGAGTTCTTTTAATACGATGGACTGAGTGATGCTCGTTGTTTATCAAGAGGTCACCATCTAATGTACCCACCGAGGTACTCTTGGATTATTTCCTCGGGCTTGGATTCCAGGCGCCCTCACGCTGCACCGGCACTGTACAGATCAACGAAGATCTTCTACCTCGATGCTTCACTTGTTATTAATTAGGGAACGGATTTTCATGTAAATACATATACTTATAGGATCAAGATAGTTGCATTCAAGAATACTTTTAGGTTTACAGGACATTATAAAAGAAATAGAACTATATTTATTTTACAAATGTTTGAATATTTTGGCATAATTACGAATTTTACCAATTACTATATGTCCCGTTACATTTTAATATATGTATACGTCAAAACTCAACATTTAAGATGTGAATCCGCAATATACAATGTTACTGGAATCATCTTTCTTACAAAGCAATGCAATGCGCTTCTATTGCCACTGGTCCTTCTTCGTGAAATGTCCTTTGCTTCTTGAAAATCGCGTACTTGGGTTCAAAGATGGGCAGATGAATTTGCGAAGCAGAAGTAATATCAACCACATGCTTGCTAACGTTTCATAGACCCCATGCGAAACATGATAAAAAAACGAACAAATATTCTTAGTTCATTGTCTTTTCGCGTTGTTGGAGTAGGCCGGGGTGGATGTCCCTTCCCCCCACATCCGAGATCCATCATTGACAGCACGGTACTGTACTATTCCCTCGAGCAGCACCGTCTCCTCGTTAACAGTGTATAGAGAACGAACTTTTTTTTATATGGTGAAAGAAACTACTGTGCAATAACTTTTGTGGAGAAAGAACTTTCTTTCACTCTCTCCGAATCCAAGATAAAACCGATTGATGTCACGGTGGCAGGATATTCGACTCTAGTTTGTAAGCTAGGCCGAATTCAGTCGCTGTCTGGAGAAGGCTTCTAGCGGCCGGCTGCTCTGATCTGATCGGTAGTTTTCCGTGGTTTCTCCGATCAAAACCAGGTAATGCCGGAGCAGTACCCTACCAAACGGGCCACGGACCGCGCGCGATCTTTCCAACCTCTTCCTTGACCTATCCTCTCCCCACACACTAACACGCACTACACAAGCACACATGCAGGGGGACCGGGCGGGAGCTTAGTGTTAGAGCTTGTCCCGATCGGGGCGGGGCACCGCTGGGGGGAGATACCTGGTTGAGGATAACCCCGCTAGCCGACGGTAGGTCGGCGCCGGATCTTGTCAAACAGCTAGAGAAGATCACTGCCACCTCCTGAGAAAAAAACAAGCATTGCACTTACGGGACTAACGACTCTGGTGTTAACGTGCCCGGAGTCACTAAACAATCAACCAACCGATTGACGACGTTCTGTGCTTTTAAAATGCTTATATAGAGGAATCTTAAACTCTGAAATTTTTTATACAAATTTTCTATTCTTTCTGACTTATTTTGGATATACGAATATATGTGTGTTACCCTTTTTATTACAATAAATTCTATTCTTTAGTTACAATAGTTATAGCTGTAGTAACTAGTTATAGCAATCGTTAATAACTGGTAACCTAGACAGAACTGTTTGTATACGATAAATTCATTTGTATTACAATAAATTCAGATTTCAATGGAGTTAAAAAAATTAACAATTTTAATAAGGTACTCAAACAAACCTTCATGAGAAATCCAGAAGGTGCAACATTTTTAGGCCATTCAAAGTCTGTTGTGTGCATTCGACTTCCTGACTCTAGAAGTAATGCACTTTTTTTTTCAGTTCTCTGAAGTCGAAGTGAACTACAAGATTGACATAAGCTGTCAGTTGCGGATAACGCATGAGGAAATGAACTATAAACAAGTTATGCGTAGTCTCTCCGGTGAATTTCGCTGTATCTGAAGCGCTGTAGCGTAAACAAAACCTCATATTGTGAAAGGGGAGTGAATGTTGGTTACGGAAGAAAGACTTACTCCGATCTCCATAGGAGAAGATTGAATGTCCGAAAATATTTTTCTTGAAAGTTTCGCGACAAGTTAAAATTAATAATTACAGAAAAAACATTAGGGGGTGAGGATTTTCCTTATCTCCCCCCCTCCCGTGGATTTGCGCCAGGTATAAGACAAGTAAGAGGAAGGAAAGATCGCGGGCGGTCCGTGACCAATTTGCTGGGGACATGCATCAGAATTTGCCTGATCGGAAAAATCACTGAAAACGACCGATCAAAGAAGTCGGCCGCTAGAATTCTCCTCCCGTCAGCCGTCGGTCTAGCTAATGTCGGTACAGCTTGTTATTGTCGAAAATCCTGCTATCGTCGGGGCTCGAACCCGAGGACATCCCGGTCAGAGGCAATGTAGAGACATCAGTTGATGCCCTGAACTATCTCATCAGATCGATGGTAATTACCAGCCATCGCGCCGATGTAACTCTCGAGGTTTCACGGTTCATATTTCCGGGAAAATGCAGCTCGTGAGGCCATTACGCTTAGTCATGCATAAAGCCAGGCCACTTGATGGCACAGTCGCTGCGACCCGAAAGCCCGTACGTTTCACATCTTATCTGTTTCAGACAGCTTACTAGCGGCGTAAGGAAATGGATTAAAGGGAGGGTTTAGGTTCAAGTCTCATACAGTGTACATACAGGTTACACACCATGCCATAACACTTGACACACAACGTTGCACAGGTTGCACACACGTGACACACACGCCTAGTGTGCAGAGGCGTACCTAGGTATTCAGGCGCCCAGAGAAAGCATAGAATTTGAGCCCCTGTCAGCATAATTCAAATTAGGTTTGTTGTTATTTGTTTCAACGGGTTTACTTTAAATAGCGCCGCTGGCACATGTCTTGTTCGTAGATACGTTTCTGCTTCCTTGGGGTTTAGAATATCGTCAGCCCTGCTGTAAATGTGTACTTAGGCGTAAGTGCCCCAAGCCCCATTCAGAAGTCCGGGAATGTAAGGATGAGGTGTGAAAGGTGACACGCTGTTATTAGGCGAGCCCTACAATGCCACAAGATCCATGGTCGAGGTGAGTTTCGAACCCGCGCCCCTTCGAATTGCCAATGCCAAGGCGAATCCGCCGTAGCCTACTGGTCGGCGACGAAATTAATAATTTGCGAAATTAATCATTGTTACCTGTTTAACATCTTAAATATATATTAAAGTTTTCATATAATTGCCTCAGTAAAAATGGGGTACTGTAGTGCACGTTAGTGTAAGTGTGTGTTAATAATGGCAGAAGATATGAGAAGGAAACGGAAGGAAAGCTCACACGCTGTTCATGGCCCATTTGTTAGGGTACTGGAATCCTACTGTATCCCTGTTTTGTTGTTCCGAAAATGATTGATACCGAAAATATAATTGACTGCAAAACGTCCGTCCACCTGTCTCTGACCGTCCGTTCGTGCATCAGCCCGTCTGTGAACACTAATAGAGCCTAAATCAAATGTACGATTTTTTCCAAAAAGTATATTTCTCGGTCGATCTGGTTTCACTCAAGGTGCGGCAATTTTCAAAAAGAGTCTTCAAAATTGGGGGATACTTGACAAGAAGGACATCTTCAAAATTTTCTCAAAAACGGCTCCAATTTTGTCTTTAAATTTCTTGTAAGAATAGAGTAAAATACACTTATAAAGATGGAATAGGTCATATTTCCAGGTTAACACTGAATTTTCAAAAATTGCGAAATTTTGAATTTTTCGCGGCGTCTTCCTACAACTACAAAATTGAACAGAGAGATTTTCTCTTCAGATAAAATATATTCTCCATTGGCAGTTTTTTTATTAAGGGAATTTACATTTTTTTTAAAATTGACCATTTTTCGCGCAATATTGCATGCAATATGAGCAATTTAAAAAATAACAAAAACAAGATTTTTTCCAAAACGGCTCCAATTTTTTTTTTAACTTTTGGTTCGGATAGTGTTAAATGTACTCTATGATATGAATAAAAGCCATGTTACTCATTTCCTTTGTTTTCTTCAAAATTTACAAAAATATTTTAAACTTGTCTCTCACGTCATTTATAGTTAGCGACGATTTGTTCACATTGTTATATTTATGAGTACAAGTGCTTTAAATAACGTCATATAAAGTTTCTTTTGAGAGAAGAAAATTGCCATATAGGGCAAGGTTTTATTGTTCTTCTAACAATCTTAACAATAATATTTTTCGTTCTACTATTAAAAGCCTGAAAAATTAAGAGAATTTCTAGACAAAAACTTACTGTTCTTTGAATCGGGCGATAAGAGCGGCAATGGCAAGAGTCATGTTGGCAGGTCCCGAACTAGCTAGCCCGAGACCGAATGAAAATAGAAAAGTAATACTGGAATACTGTGCATTTGTAACACCCCTGGTTTTATTTCTTTATTTACACTTCGGATACAAAATATTATTAACCGTAACTACTTATACGTGACCAACACAATACATACGTATCAGTATTGTCATTAGTACTCCTAATTAAAAACGGAATCAGAAATGGAATAATAACGTAATTCCCTACTGTTACTCCATACATTTATAAATCGATATTAAATTAACTCTCATAGATGTTTTCATCTCGAGCGACACGAAACAGAGTAGAAAGGTTTTGAAATACCTATGTTTTGATGGCTCGTATCAAAATATCGATACCAACAAACTCGCAAGACTGCATGCTCACATATCAACTGCATGGAATGGGATATATCCTAATCTTCTTCTTGAGACCTCTACAGCCTATATGGCCCGCGATCGTGTGCGGTGCACGCTCGTGTTTTCGCACATATGGCGATCTAGGAGCTATATTAAACACCTGTGCCTTTTTGGCGCTGTGCAGACTGATACGTTGGGTTCTACAAATATGAAAGTTGAAGGAGTTGTTCGCTCGACCCGCTGCTCCAGGGAATCTAACGTGCTACAAGCATGGGCGAAACTCTTGCGAACTAACATATCGGCAGAAAAAGTTCCGTTATATTTTCAAAGGATTTTATTACTGGTATCCTTTGGCCCATAATTGGATAATTTAAGCATAAGAACACCGTAAGCAAAAATTGCGCTTTTCAATAATGCTTTTTATCATACTTAAAAATTCAGCCACAAAACCAGAAACAGAATCCTTCTTTCAATAAACTTGAGTCTTCATACACATGTGTACAATGTTCTTTAACATTTACTTTCAATCTTATAATTTTGTTCATTTCAGCATTTCTACTTATACGATAGAAATATAAATTATGCGAAAGAAACACACTAGAATTAGCCGTGTCCACCCTCCACTGCTCTGCCTAATTTTAACTACTCCTGTTTCTTTTTAGTTGTCTCGACTGTTCCTGCCACTCCTGGACAGTTTCTCTTGCGACAGACACGCTTTGAAACCGCTGTATTCGGCATGGGCGGTGATTCTTTACGGTGGCAAAGTAGTCCACAGCATTCTGAATGCTTCGGAGTTCACTGAAACGAACCGAAAATCAGTTTCTCGTCTCGAACTACAGGAAGACATCTATAGCTCTTTACATTATAATAGTAAAATTCGTAGTTTCGCTTCTTTTGCTTCTGTCAACTCATAATCTACGAAATTATATTTTCGGGAAGAGCTTTATCTCCCTAGCTGTGTGTAGTGGTCAATGTGGGTGTGATTTAGCTGCTGATCGAAATTAAAGAGAGTCCGCTCGGTGGCTCGTTGATTGGAGTGCTTTCCACGGCTCAACGCCCGGATTGACTCCCGGACAGGGGGGCAAAAATTATTTGTGCGCTTTTCTTGCAAAGTCCAGTATCTGTTTGGTGCTGTGTGCACGGAGCAGTAAGAGCTCACTTCTCAGGTTTTGAAGTCCAGAAGATAAGGCGTAGGGAGTGTCCACGTGGCGAATCCACGTACGCCCTTAAACCCATAGGGTGCAAGGCTGAGATGCTGCTGGTAGGCTTAGCTCAATACGGAGCTGTTGGTGCAAAATACACATATACATACATTCGTATTAGGCGAAAATCATTCTGTTCTGACTTTCTCTCCATCCTTGAATAGATTTTTATGATATTCAAAATTCTCATATTAAACGTCAGAATGTATTGTGGCATTTCGCGATAATTCCGTATTTTAAAATATGTTATACTTGGATACATTACTGTGTAAGAAAATAGTTACCTTAAATTTTTGTGATAACCCAGAAGCTGAGACGTATTTACAAAGTTTGAGGGACCGGCAGGGGGTGGCCTAAGGACATTATTGATGTCACTGCAAGTGCATCTAATCTAGGCTAGGTTCGATTGATCCTAGGTTCGAGTCCAGACGGTGGTCGGGATTTTTTCGACACCACCTTTCAGATAGATGAATTCAGTCGCTGTCTGGAGGAAATTCTAGCGGCGGCTGCTCCTTATCGGTAGTTTTCCGTGATTTCGATTAACATGGGGCGAATGCTGAAGCAGTACTCTACCAAACGGGCACGGACCCGCCGTGTTTCATTCTTCCTTCCTCTCTATGTTCCTAATCTCACCCTTACACACACACACACACACCTCATGCACTTCTCTACACACTACCGGGGAGACGGGTGGAGTTAGAGCTTGTCCGACTAGGGGCGGTGCCGATGGGCATACTGTTGGGGAATCCGCTTGCGACGGTAGGTCGTAACAATCCCGCTACAGCGGGAGGTCACCGGGCATTCCCGAGCACTATCCACTACTAACGGGACTAATGCCATAGCATTGATGCGTCCAGCATCAACATCATCATCATACGTTTCGGAGGGCGACGCGGCGTGTGTTGTGTGTGTTGCGTAAGCGAGATTGGCCGGCGAGCAGCAGCGTGCGCGCAGTTGTGGTTTC